GCCAAGCCTCCATGCGCCCTCCACGCCATGGGCTGCATCCCTGCGAACACTTGTGCCGACAACCTCTGCTAACGGGGCTTGTCTCAGGGCACCCCGTAATTCCCCTGCAGAACCCCCATGAGCCAGGGAGCAGCTGGGATCCCTGGCCGGGGGGGGGGTCTCCCATTTGGGTCACCTCTCTCAGCATCCTGTTCCCACAGGGCTCTGGGGCCTGGTGAACAACGCCGGCTTCAACGACACCATTGCCGATGCCGAGCTCTCTCCGCTGGGCAAGTTTCGCACTTGCATGGAAGTGAACTTCTTTGGCTCGCTGGAGCTCACCAAGGGGCTCCTGCCCCTGCTCCGCTCTGCCGGTGGTCGCATCGTCACTGTGAGCAGCCCCGCGGGTGAGCAGCCTGCCCTCAGCATGACCCACCAGCCCCCCCCCCCGAGGCTGGGTGCGGGTCGAGCATCCCCATGGTCCAGCACAGCTCCCACCCTATCCCCGGGCACCTCCACTTCCCCAGCCAGCTGCATCAGACTGGCACCAGACACCCTAAAATAAGCCAGCAGTATTGCTTAGCCCCACAGCGGGCACCCAGAAACAGGGAGCCATGGGACCCCAGCCCAGCTGCCACATGCCTCTATCAGGAATGACAACCCCAAGCTTTGGCTGGCCATGGAGGGGAAAACCAGCCTCCTCTCCACCCCTCCCCTTTTGCTTTTTCCCCATAAAACACCTTACGTTGAAGCAAATTCCAGTGGCTTTCTCAGCAAAACAAAACCTAAACTCTTTCCTTGTGCAGGGGCCGGGAGCGCAGCCCTACGCAAGCCCTCCCAGTCCCTGCCTGCCCCCAGCTACGCAGGCAGCTGCCCGAGAGCCCCTGCTCACTCATCCTTTTGCTCCTGCAAGGTGATCTGCCCTTCCCCTGCCTGGCAGCTTACGGGGCCTCGAAGGCAGCCCTCAGCCTGCTCATGGACACCTTCCGCAGCGAGCTCCAGCCCTGGGGTGTCAAAGTCAGCCTCGTCCTGCCTGGCTACTACAAAACAGGTAAGAGGGTCGGTGCTCACTTGCTGCCTGCACCCACAAGCAAAAGGCAGGTACCCCCAGGGAGGCAGGAGCAGCCAGTGATGCAGGATGCAGCTCTGGAGCATTCCCAGCCACCTCCCTGGGGATGGTGACCATCCTGTGGCCTTTGGGCTCCGGTTGGTGAGGGGCAGGGTCAGGATCAAGCCCCACCAGCAGATTCTCTGCCACGGGGGCTGGCCAAACCAGCTCAGCCACGTTTATGCTAGCACCATCCCCTCCACAGGCAGGGTCTGAGACCTCTGGTCCAGTCCCAGGCTACCAAGAGCTACCGTGGTGCTCCCACCACGCTTCCCCCTCAGTAGCTCTCTCCCAGGGTTTCAGCAAGACCTTCCTAGGAGGGGCTGGGAGGCGACTGGGGGCTGCTGGTACCCATGCCAGGGGGGCTGGAGGTGGTGGGGGGGGGG